CGCTGCCTGGTCAAGTAAGCATCTAGAGCCTGGTACCTAGAAGTGTCAGATGAGTAATGAGGAGGAGCAAGTGACAGATCTTGTACAATGCTTTCTGACTTTTTCATTCTTAACATTGCTCATACACCTACAGCTGTGTTCTGCATATAGAGGAGAGGTTCTTCTGCAAGCCCTTGGGCATTGCACACACACCCCTGCCACCCTTAGTGCAATGGAGAATCTGACTTTTCTAATTTCCTGTGATGATCAGCTAAGTGATACTCCTACTGAGGCATAGGCTGGGCACTTTCAGATAGTTTATATAAAGAGTTTTCCTCATTAATATTCTCATTTTGATAAGCCTAGAAGTCTCAAACCCACACGCTACCTTTAGAAAACCCCAAACATTCCTAAGCATTAGGACTTTCACAATTAGACACTAAATACCTGAAACTCAGCACATCATCAGTACCTCATCCACACTATAGGAATCACAGCATTTTCTTGTATCTAACTTTCTCTATAGGAAATATCTTTTATACTCAAGCAACATTATTTTTTTCATTTTTAAAATTTATTTATTAAATTTAATTTTACATATCAGCCACGGATTCCCTTGTTCTCCCCCCTCCCAACCCCCCCCCCTGCCTTCCCCCCAGCACACCCCCCATTCCCATCTCCTCCAGGGCAAAGACTCCCCCGAGGATTGAGTTCAACCTGCAGCATTCTTGTCTTATGTATTTTCCAGGTTTATCAGGAAAAGAAGAGAGTGTTTCAACAATAAAACATTTCTAAACCTTTAGATTCTTATTTATTATATTTCAGTTGCTTAGGTTCTGACATGATGGTTGAGGGAAAAAGTGAATGGATTAATTATCCTATAATTTCACATTCATATCTGAATACTCTTAGGAAATGTTAGTTTTTTTGTATGGCATAACTAAAGCTTTTAATAGGATTCCATGTATATATGTATATGTATATGTACATGTATATGTATATATGTGTGTGTGTGTGTGTGTGTGTGTGTGATATGCAAGTATTTGAGTGTACAGGAAAAATTAAAAGTATTTGATGTTGTCTATTTCAATTTCAGTGGTAATTTTTTAAGAAGGCAATACATCCCCTACACAATAGGACAACCATGTGCTCTTTGTCCTGATCACTGTGAAGATGGACTCTGCAGTAAGTTTTTTTTTAACACACTAATATAATATTATCAAATCTGTTTTAAGATTTAATTGCATGGCCTTATTTTCAAAGAGGATTTAGAATTACAAATTTTCCTTTGTTTAGGATGTATGTACTTTTGACATTGAAAAAACAGGATACTCTATGTTGTTGAAGGAAACATCTAAATCAGTGCATACTTGCAACTATATTGGTATTATTGCTATTGGAGTCTACAGAAATATTCCTGTGGCTATAATTCCATAAATTTCAAGTGAATTTTCTTATCCTCAATAACAGTAGGATCTTAATGTTGGCATTTTAAGAAGACAAAGCAATATAAATCTAAGTGTTTGAGATAATAGTACACAGTTCAGCCCAGAGAAGGAAGAAATATACTACAATTCTTTGCCCACCAAGAAGCTTAATACAATAAATTCTCAAGCTCCTCCAGAGCATCATTTGAATTTTGTGTTACATTTTTATTTATTTGTGAATGGGTATTTGTGTCACTCTGTATATGTACAGACACATGCATGTGTGAAATGGCTTCTGTGTGTGATTGTGTGTTGAGATTAGAGGACAACTTGTGTGAATTAGTTCTCTCCTTCCATAATAAAGGTGTGAGAGATTTCATTACAAGAAAGAAGTGAAATGAATGTCTAGCATCTCATTTTTAGTATTACTATGAATATAAATACAAAGAATTAATGTAACCCCAACATTCTGTG